TTTTATTTTCCCTTTTCAGTGCTAAATCTGAGCCAAGCAATCTAAGCCTAAGTTAACTGAACCAGCCTTGTAACCATGGCCTTCCTCATTCCTGCAGGCAAATCAAGTTTCCTTAAATATCACTGTCAAACTGTGACAACCCCTCCCCCCTGCTCAAGAATACTCAGTGGGTCCTCTCTTCAGAGCAACAGCTCAGGTTTGAGTGCTTCCTATTATACTAAACACATTAGCCACATAACCTTCTCCACCATCCTCAGTGGTAGACAGAATTATTATCCTGATTTTGCTTGCTCTGCCCACCACTGGGTACCTATTGAAGTATTGGGTCATATTTCACTGTACCATGACAAACAGAATGATAAGAATTTAAGTTCTTGGAAGTAGAAATTGTGTGTGACCTGATGGAGAACTTACAAGAATTTTTCAATAGATCTACTGTACAACTCTAATTTTAGCATCTAGTACCTTAAAAACCACTGACAAATGGTAAGAGTCCGAAAAGCTCCAAATGGCTAACAGCATTCCACCTTCTAGGACTTAAAGGTCTATGTGGGTTGGACACATAGCTTAGGGGGAGAGTGCTTACCTAGGATGCTCAAGGTGCTATGATTGGATCCCAGCACCACCACAAAAACACAGAAACAGAACAAAACAAAACCCTACATTCATGAGACCATACTGTGGCCTGCTTCTGAGTTTTCTATTCTCTTACTCATGTCTCAAGATTGAGCCAGATTTTCAACTTACTTAATATTCTCAGCATCATTGCTATTGACAGATGACACAGAAATGGCAGGTTACTGATTTTGTATTACTCAGGCTGAAAGGACCTCCAAAAGTGAGGTCCTACTCTGATTTTGGAGACTAATCCAGATCAAGATATGTTCCTTCTAAGGACAGAAGGAAAGGATCATGCTTCATCATTCTCTCCATCAACAACAGCATTTTTCCTTTTTGCTTGTAAGTCTCTATCCATCTACTGTGTTGCAGGACTACAATAACACATGTTCAACAGAATGTGCTCCAGTTAGCACACTCGTGATCCAAATGTTAAAAGTGCCAACCCAACGATACCCAAAAAAGACCAACACTAGAATAATATTAAATCCTGCCAATTGGCATGCAAGATGATGCTGTTTTCAACTCAAATTAAATCATGTTTTTTAACTTGCCTAAATAAGTAAACTGCTACATCATGTACAAAAGAGTCATAGAATACCTAATTATATACATGATACATATAAAAACTAGTCCTATAAATGTCTAGTTCCATTTAAAAAGAGCTAGTATACAGGAGGAAAGAATTTAGTCAAAATTAAGAAGGTAATCTTCTTTCCTTCCCTGCCACTCCCCAAATCATCACTTGAAACTTATTTCTGTCTTGAAAAAAAAAACAAAGCTCACTTTCATCACACACAGCCTCATGATCTTCCCCTTAACTTAGAAAACCATGACAGTTCTTCTTTATATAAGACATAGTAAGGACATAAATTTGGGGTGGACAGGAGAAAAAAACATGCACCATCACTTAACATTTTTAGAGTTACTTCTTTACTATTAGTTCTAAGGAAATAAGAACATTGAAGGAGAACCTGAGAGGAAGTGAAAGCAAAGCTTTCATTTTTAATCCTTTTAGCACAGAGCAGTCTGCTTTTTATTTTGTTCTTTCACAACTGACTTAGTCAAATCTACTTAGCTTTGAAGTCCATGAGATTATTAAATGCTATAGGAAAATGAAAAATAATAAGAATCTCAGTACAGGTTTCATAACTGCTTTAAGAAAAGTAGAGTCTATACCCATTGTAGTTGATATTAATAAATAAAGATCCTTAATCAAGTAAGTAGAATTTTAAGTTCCTTTGCAAATAAGTTTAATATTATTTAATCACATATGCCAAAGAAAAATAATAAGTATACACAGTGAGGCTAAACGTCCCACAGTCAAAGTTTTTATAAAAAATACTACGCTCTGTCAATTGGGGGAGGAGCTCAATAAAACAATCACAGTTATATCAACTCATACAGGGGATTTCTCCACTTCAAGGCCTGGGACCCTATGCTTGCAAGCTAGTAATTTATTGACTCCACTAATGATTTTTTGATCTGCTTGAATGCCAAGCTGAAGCCAAGTCTGAGCGTTTTCCAAGAGTAGCTGTTTGGTCCATCACATAGTCTCATACTCAGCATATAAAAACCACTTCAAACCACATGCCATAAACCACTTCAGACACCCAATGTGTGAGCAAAGCATGGGGCTGAATTCTACTTCTCGAGTCTTGGCAGATAGTCCACTTAACTTTTAAGCAAAAATTGTTTTAAGTCATATTTAACTTATACTACAATGAATAAAGGGACAGGTTTGTAGGTAAATTGTCTATCAAACTCATATGAACTAAAAATGTTTTAAAAATTATCAACCAAAGTTGTCTAGGATGTATATTTTAACCAAAATTAGGTAAAACACAGGGACTGTGTTTTACTATCAAAAAGAAGAAAAAAAGCCAAAAAAGATTAAACTTTTTCAAATCTTCATGTACTGATGACAATTAGATGATTGGACTATTAAATAAATTAAGTCCTTATAACAAGAAGGGGTAGATAGATAGATAGATAGACAGACAGACTTATGTGTGTGTATATATATTTTTTTGAGGAGACAGAGTTTTCAGCATGATAAATGACATCCAATAACATGAATTATTTTTAGTATCTGAATTTCCCTGTATTCTTTCCAAAAAATTGTAGTCTCTACCTCTCTCATTTCCCAATTTTTAAAGAATAGGCAAAATATGAAAGCCATTGACAAAATCCAGGCCCTAGTTTACTCTCTCTCTGAAATAACTTTTTATACACAACTTGGGTGTCACTAAAGCTTACATTCAAATCATTGGCAAGGATGGTCATAGTTTTAATTGTTTCATACTGCCTTTGCCCTCCAAGATAAAATAAAATTAGTGCATAATCAAACTCCTGGGCATTCCTGATTCTGACAACTTTCTAAAAAATCAAAGCAGCAATTAAGAAAGATTAATGTAAGGTTATAAAATTTTTCATAAAATGCAAAATGTGTAATAAAGCATTATGAAGTAATTAGCATTAAAAACAGACTAAAGGAATTGAGCACTTTGCGATCTTCTTTTTTCTCTTAAAATCAAACTAAGAATTATTATATCAAGGCTGGGGTGTGGCTCAGTGAGGGAGCCCTTGCCTATTGTGAGGCCCTGGGTTCCATCTCCAGCATATACACACACAATATTATTTTATGACCTAAAAATTAGGGAAGCTATGATTGTACACCATCTTCAGTTTTCCATAAAAGATGTGGATCCTGCTATAGACATTTCATAATCAGTAATAATCATTTAGCAAACCAGCAATTAAAAGGCTAGGGCCTCCATAAATTTGACCAGATATTATGACTCCATTCTTATGCATACCAAAGAATGGTAGGTGAGATTTTTAGAAAAATGACTGCCTGCAGTCATCTATCTCCATTATGAAATACAGTCAATTCTGGTTTGCTCAAGGGCCAATAAGCCAATTCAAGCATTGTTATATGTCGTCTGGTTTTCTTTTTCCCCTTTTAGTTTCTAACATTTGCTTATTTCACAATTTAATAACACTTCTACCAGAGGACGGGTGAGATGTGAGAGAAGGTGCAATTCAAACCAGTCAGTTTTACTCCTCATTAGCAACTCTGTTGAGAAAGAGTGAAAGCGAGAAAAAGAGGGAAAAAGGGTTAGTTGGGATCAGAAGTAAAAACTAATGTCTAAAGAGAAGTTCTGAAATTTTAAGTTGATTTTAGTGATTCATGCCATTCCTCAGGAAAATAAGAATCTGACTATAAAACTAATACTCATCTCTCATATGCATTCAGAAGTAATTTAAGAGAATACCAGCTCAGTTCCCCAGCATTATTACAGGGCGTGCTTGGATCTTGCTGCACATGCCTCCAAGTCACATGAGGACAGCTGTCACTTCCTTGCGTGGGTCTCTGGATATTAACTACTTGGTCACTTGAATGATAACTGCTTATGATGATGGCATTATCCCCTTCTTCCCCTTGACAATAGACTCTTAGTTCCAAACCAATATAACCTCAAGAGTTCAAAGGGATAATAAATGAAAGATATTGGGGGGTGGGGTCAGAAAAGGAAGAAAATTGAAGAATGATTTCAAATTTGGCAAATGGTTTCAATAAGGAAGAGGCACACACATGACAAGAGTCAGTTTCAAACATGCATGTGAAAATGCAGGGTTTGACATCTAGTCCCTAGTCCCACACCAAGAACCACATCACCAAAGCACCAATAGGTGGCCTCCATGGGCTCACAATCTTGGTTTGAATGGATTAACACTGAAAATTCATACTTCCAGTATGAATCTGGCAATACAGAGACAATGTGGCCACATGGCGACAACTAGCTGGTACATGGTGGCTTGGATGAGACATGAGAACGACCCTTTGCCAGAGTCCCATCATAGCCTAGCTCACTCAGCCTGGCCCCAAGGCAGTACAATTTGCTACCCTGCCATAAGAGGAAGTGTTCTGCCTTATGAGAAAATCAGACAACTAGGGCAAATATGGGGCAGAAGCCATAAATCCCAATGTGATGGTGACCTGTGCCTTTAATCAAGACATGTTTAACATTAGATTCTACCAGCTCCTTGCATAAAAGATCTGCTTTAATTTTAGTTCCCCTTCCATTTGTCTCAGGGTTATGTAACCTCACAGGAGGTCACACAAGTCTCCCAAAAAAGAAATTTAAGCTGTCTTTTAAAAATAAAAAAAGAACCGTGCATAACAAAGACAAACACAAAACTGAAACTTGCATTTTTCTCCCTGACAAGAAAGCTTCACCCTCTCTGTTAATCTCAAAAATTTTAATCTTAAGAAAAAAAGAAATTAAAACACAGAAGATAGAAAACTGTAGCCTGCCCTGAGAACATATAAAGTGCTCTCAACATGCCACCAAGCAGAAAACTAATTAATATCTTACCGTCTTCCAGCTCAAGACAAAGGTTATACACAGCCACTGGTCTCTTTGTCCTCTGGCCTTGTCTCTTTGACTGCCTGGGCGGAGCATTTGGGGGTGATGTTGACAGGCAGGTGGGCTCAGGGAATGTGGTATCAGGTAAGGTCCGAAAAATCTGCCATCAAAGCATAAAGGACATCAATTGCTGACCATGAACAGAAACCTATGGAGTGGTACAATAAACCAAGATCAAGTCACATTTGACTTGGCTTTCATTCACCACAGTCTAGAGCCAAAAATCCATTCCTTCATATTTGAGAAACAGACCGCAAATCTTTTTAAAATCATTTTTTTTCACAGAAGATTTCAAAATTTGTCATTGAAATTTAGTCATTACATTTCAAATATTTTTCTCAAAAAATATTATCTTTAATATAATTATCTTTATCAGGTGTAGACTGCATCAGAACTCTTTATCTCCAATGTACATAGTCAGACATAATACTAAAACCAAGTATCCCATTTAATTTTCACATTTATGCTAAAATGCTGGTTGTGATTTTTTTTTCAAATTACATAAACAGAAACATCTGACTGCAAACATTTTTTTTACATGTTTAAGAATAGCTTGTGCTTATGAAATTACCTTTCTGGATTCCTATTTATATTTTTCACAAAATGTTTCATAGATTTCCTCAACTCTTTGAAATATCTTCTTATGCCTCTTAATATTATTCCCTTCCATTGATGGAACTTAGACCATTAGAACCTTGATTTATCTACAAGGTCTTTCACCCAGCAATAATAACATTAATTAAAATGTGTTTCTTCTTTGTTTAGCAATTTTCCCCTCTTTGGAGAAAAGCAATGGATGCCATAAAGAGAAACTCATAGTTCAGAATGATTTATCAGACCTTCCATGGCTGCCAAGATCTGAAATCAGGGGCTCCCCTCCCAACAACACTGGGGACTCCTGAGCCTTCAATAAATTGTAAAAATAATATATTAGAGACGTCAGCCTAACAGACACTGCCTTTCCAGAGGGCTGATGCTTCTTAGGTAGAAGTAGGAAGCCCACCAGCTAGCTTTAAACAAAACATAAATGAAAAACTCACAAAAAAGGTGCTGTATGAACATCCCACTGCTGTAAGGAAATTATTACTTATCAGAGTAAATAAAATCAGACACATGGCCTGGGATATAAGTGAAGGTATCACTTAAACATGTGTATACCATTTAAAAACAACATTGAGTTTCAACTGTATAACCTGGAAGTTCTCACCTAAAAACTATTATACACCAATAAAAATAAGCAATTTCAACAGAGCATTTGCTTTATAGTACCACACTGCCCCCTCATGTATAAATGGAATAAAAATGATTTAAATTACTGTGGACAAATATTTGCTAGTGAAAATCTAATTTACTGCTCCAACTGGTAACCTGCTAACACCATATTTCCAGAGAATCTGGGTTCCAACAGGGCACTCTGGCAAATAGCAAACTACTTATCTGTCTTAAAAATCCTCTGTAGCCTAGACTACTGTCCATAGCTGGATTTACTGCCAGCTGTCACAGTTCAAGTTCAAGAAGGTCATGAAGGGTGGGAAGGGGTGAGCAGAACAGTTGAAAAGAACATGAGAACAGTAAAGGAGAGAGGTTGGAAAACATGAATCCACTGAAAGAAAACAGCACCTGTGACCAACTCTTGGAACAGCTCCTAGACTTATCTATGCTTGATTTTTACAAATATGACAGGTGACTCTGGGATGTTACCAGAATAAGAAACCAAACAACACACAGAGCCGGGACATTCAAAGTGTCAATAAGCAATGGAAAAGTTAGGTCCCAAGAACTGACACTGGATAGATGACAATCTTCCAAGAGTACCTTTCTGGAAGATCACACTGACTGGAACAGCAAAATGCCAAAAACTGCTTCACCTCTTCCTTCTCCTGCACCGTGGAGTGGAAGTGTCTAGAGAAGGCTGTGGGGAGGGAGTGTGAGGCATGAAGGCAGCCGCAATCTGCAGAGCTAGATCACTAAGCAACATGGGATTCAGGATTGTGACTCTATCATTCCCCAGGGACTGATCCATGAGCTGGGTCCAAGCTTGGCTAGTCTCCATAAGACTTCAGGCACTGTTTAGTTTGCATGAGAATATCTGGGAAAGAGGGCTGGACTTTGGATTGTTTTATTTTCTTTGGTTTACATTTTAAAGTTCCCAGGTCATTCTTTTGTGTAGCCAAGGCAAAAAAATACTGATTTGGACAGTCAGTCCAGTTGTCTCAGATGGACGAAAGTCAAAATCAGGACACCAGAAAAATCATTTCAGAAAAATTGGCACCAAACATAATTCCTTGGACCATCCCACATTCTAGTTAGGCATGCAATGGTTCAGAGTCTAACTCTCAAACACCTCATCAATAATCTCTACGTGGGATGGACATCTCAAAAGCTAAATTATCCTCCCAATTGGGACAAGCACTAAACACAAGTGCTCACTAAAGACAGTACTGTCCTGGCTTTGAACTCTGACCAGATATGGAAGCTGAAACCTGTTTCTTGACACTGGGTGCCTCATTTCCTCTTGTGGATAATGGGAACCATCTCACCTACATCTCACGTTATAATGGAGACTGGATGAAATAATACATGAAGCACTCGGTACAGCAACCAGAATAAATGACACCATTTGTGATATAGTCACATACAGTAAGTACCAATACAAGTAAATTCAGACTCTCCTATTCTGCTCAACTACCATTTCCAGAAGGTATTTCCAGAACCACCTGAATTCATAAAATCCAGTGATCTGAGCAATGTTATTCTAAAGTATTCTGAAAAGAACCTCAAGCAACAGGGTAAAGGATGGTAGCAAATGGAGCACTTTTGCATAATCCCCAGTAACCTAGAACCAAACAAATGATTTATATATCTATTTCTCTACTTTGGCACCAAAATTTTGGATTTAAATTGCTATTATATTTAATGTGTTTAACATGTAATAAACATGTAACAAATGCCTCGTACGTGGCAGGCTTTTTCAGAAGCACATGACAGTCTCAACAACTGTTGACGTGAAGTATTGTTCTCTGGGCTTCACAAATAAGAGGTGCTCCAAACTGAAATCAGCCCAAAGCCCCACAGCTTAAAAATGGTAGAGCTGGAATCTGAACCCTCTAGTCTGATTCCAGAGCCTCTGCTGCCAAACTATAAAAATAGTCTAGTTTATGAAACAAAACTTAATTCCTTGAGGAAGAAATCACCAGATAATACTGTCCTGTATCTGTTTGAGAACAACAGCAAAAAAACCCACTGTGTAATATGGACATCAGCCCGCCACCTCTGTGTTATGTCCATATTGTCTCCCATAGCTATCAGCAACTCTGAAGCCTTTTTTTAAGTTATAAAGCTATGCTGTTATGATTTTCTCTGAAATGCCAGGAATGATTATAAAGGATTTCTTTCAAACCTAGAAAAAAGAGGAAATGGTAAAACTATTCACTTCAAAATGTTGAACTGTTTCCTGGCAATCTGATTGTCGGCAGTTACATTTAGATTATTTTGTTCTGCCTTGTCAACATATGTCATCTCTAAGTACAACATTGCTTTCCCAGTTGTAGAACCACCACATAAATGCAAATTCCTCTCATCACCCAGATCTCCGGCCAAGGTCTTTTCACTCCCCTAACTTCACACCCTACCTCCCACCACCTTTGCCTGGGGTGGATGAGCGTGTCTTACACAATACCGAGAAGCCAGAGATCATGTCTCCTAGAAACTTCTGTTTTCAGGGTAAAAACTTCTTCACCCACCTACGTATTTACAAGAAAATCTCAAACCAAACAATCCCATAACAAAAAACAAAACTCCACGCGTAGGCGTGTCAGGTAAGGAAGCTCGCTTACTCAGGTCTCCTAGGAGTGCCAGCACAAACAGAAGTCTGGCACTATTCACAGTCATCAGCTCCTCAGACACAACAACACGAATGCTTATATCCGTGGGACTCGGCCATATGTATAAATTCCTTTGTAATTCCTTCATGCCCTGCCACCAGCAGCCACTCGTGGACATGACGACATCACTTCTGCCAGAAATACTTTGCAGGTAACAGGGAATAAGGATGATTGCTGAGAACTTGGCAGTGGTACATGACTCAAACTTGCAGGGTTTGATTCTGCTGAATTAATAAGTAAGGAAATTAAGTGAGTAAAGGAAATTAAGGCAGAGGTGATGCTTCCACAGAAGAGTTCACTGGACTGGACTGTGAACGGAAGATTGTCAATGCGTCTGTGTACTGCCAGCACCTCTAATAGCAGGTACAATTATTGGAGATTTACAATATGCCTGATATTATAAGAAGTGCTTGCTGTACAAAGACTTGAACCAGATTTCCTGACTTCAGTGTGCAAGTCTGAGCACCAATGTATCCAATACTACTCAATCATATCAAGCCCCATGCATCTCACGTCCTCCTTGGTGATGTCCCATGTCACAGAACTGTACCTTTCCATAAGCAGACAGAGGTAACCCAGAAGACAGCTGGAAATCAACACATCTCCACTTCAAGCAAACTTTTAACATAGGAAGGAGGGACAGAAATCCAATGTTCAACATTCTAAAATGCATAAATTACAAAATGGCCAAATAATACTTCCAGAGGCTACAGTATGTTTAAACAAATAACATCACCTTGGGGTTATGTGACTAAGTTGGCCCCAAGGTAACAGAAACTTCCACTGACAACTTCACTTGAGTTTAGCTACCATGTGAGCAGCACAGCAGTGCTAAAAACTCATTCCCAGCTATCTGTCCATGAGTCAACACACCCCATGACTAAACATGGGTCTATTCTAGAACATTCAGCTAATGATAATAGGGACAGACAGTGAAACACCAGTTGGGTTCAGCCTCAAGGCTGGAACTATTCTAAGGCTTCATGTTGGTTCTGGTTCATTAAAGCTCAGAATTTCAGAGCTGGAGAGTATCCTGTTACCCCTCAGGCCAACCATTTTATTCACAGTTGAGCAAACTGGGGCCTCTGTGGTTAAAGATGTACTCATATTCACACTACTCGTCAGAGCTAGACACAAGCCTTACTCCCAGGCCTGGACCTCAATGCCAACTGCTATCTCCCATTCTGCTGGCTCTGACCCACCCTCTCCAACAAAG